ACTTACTGTTGGCACCTTAAGAATAAATGATAACGATTAAAAAATTAACTATCATAATTAGTAACTGAAAAAAATATTTTACGGGCAATAAAGACAACATCGGACTATCAAAATAATAATCATTATGTATCACAAAAGCGTAAAATGTGTAAATCTGCATTTTCTTTTTAGTAAAGTCATTGACATTAGCAAGTGCTAACAAATAAAAACGAACTAGATGATGGCAGAGTGGTCTTGTGGATAATCGATTGCTTTAGTTTATACAATGCAAAGATGATAAGTTCGATTTCCATGTTACTACTCTATCCTATTTTTTAGTCCATAATATTTCCTGGGGGTCAAGTTATTCCATTAACCTGTCTTTAATGAATGAACTACAATACTTGGAACCCAGTCAGCATACTTTCGTGTAGCTATGTCGGACAATCCTTGGGCAAGCTTAAACTGTTAATATGTTATTAAACCAGTCTATAGAATACTCAAGATTCCCATTTAATTGATTTCAAATTAGGGAATATCACACTGACATACTGAATTAAATAAATGAAGTCTTATGCTATGCCAGTGCAGGCGCGGATCCAGGATTTTTCAGGGGAGGGGGCCCAACTTTTTCTTTTTTTTGCTCCCGAAAATTTGAAAATCGCGCCGGCCGAAAATTCGCTCAATGGGGTGGGGGGGGGGGGGGGGTAGTGAGCACATTTTTTTTGTTTGGTCCTCGGAAATTTAAAAATTTGCGACCCCCCCCCCCACCCCTTGAGCGCCAGGGGGGGGGGGGCAACCCCCAAAAGGTAAAAATCACGTGTTTTTACATGATTTTTTTTCTCAAAGGGGGGGGGGGGGGGCGCCCCGCCCCTGGATCCGCCACTGTGCCAGTGAGCTACCCAGTGGCCTACTGGAATAACAATTCAAGTCGGCAGTCTAACAAAAGTAAATGATGATAATATAAAGACTCATTATCATATCAGTTACTGATGTAAACTGTTATGGCCAATCTTGACAACATCCGACTATAAAAATAATCATCATCATGTTTCCCGAAAACATAAAATCAGTAAATCAGCATTTTTAGCAAAGTCACTGACATCAGAAAGCAAATAGAAGAGAACTAGAATGTATCAGTTAGGCAGAGTGGTCTTGTGGATAAGTAATCGCTTCACAATGTGGATATAATAGGTTCGATCCCCACCTACTCATTTACCCTGTTAAGTTAGTCCATAATATTGACTTACCAAAATATTCTTTAAAAAAGAGAGAGGTGAGAAAAAAATATTGGATTTTTATCATGTATCGATCCGAAAGCGTATAATCAGTAAAATCCTCACGAATGGAAACATAATTATCAGCCTGCAAGAAATTCCGTCCACGGTGGCCTTAGTTTAGAATTAATATTTGCAAAGAAATGTTTTTAATTTGAAGAAATAACTGCAAAGATGGTGTATAGATGTCAAATCAAGAAGAATTCAGAAACCAGCTCATCATTTCATAACTTTATGGAACTTTATAATATTAGGCCTACAACTAAAGAAGTGGAAAAGATTTTTGTTCAACCAAGGTTGTGCACATTAAACAGTAAACTGAGAGAATTTCAGTTTAAACTTTTGCATAGAATAGTTTATACAAACCATCATTTGCAAAGATATACATTTTGTACAAAAGTTTTGTGTTCGTATTGCAAATTTTTGGAGGAAACCTATCAACATGTATTTTTTAAATGTAGGCCTAATATAATTTTAAAAATTGTGCTGATAAACTCAATTTACCAATTCTAAAAAAACTGTCTTGGAAAGAAATTCATATTGGAATAAATTTTATGGGAGTAATAGGAAAACAGAGCAATTACTGAACAATATTCTGATTTTGATTAAATTGATGATTTTTGATAGCAGAGAGAACGGGGAGCCTCGAAATCAGGCGCGGATCCAGGATTTCTTAGGGGGGGGGGCCCAAATTTGAAATTATGCGAGCCAAATATTGGTACGTAATGGTGACCAACAGTGACGTGATGCGGAGGGGGGGGGGGTCGGTGCAGGGAGGGGCGAATTTCTCCCTCCCTCCTCCGCGAAACGCGGAAGCTTTGACGTTTCATTAAATCATTAGAGAAAAAAAACGATTCGTTGTACAGTTCTCGAAAATAATTCTCGTCTGAATTTTGTTTTTCCCCTCTCGCGCGAAGCGCGAAAATTTTTAGGATTCATTAAATTATTAGAGAAAGAAAACAATTCGTTGTAGAGTTCTCAACTCTAAATTCTCGTCTGAATTCAGGATCTCCCCCCCCCCCCCCCTATCGCGCGAAGCGCGGAAGCTTTTAAGTTTCCTTAAATTATTAGAGAAACAAACCGATTCGTTGTACCGTTTTCGAAAATAATCCTCGTCTGAATTTAGATTCTCCCCCCCCCTCCCGCGCGAAGCGCGGAAGCTTTTACGTTTCATTAAATCATTAGAGAAACAAAACGATTCGTTGTACAGTTCTCGAAAATAATTCTCGTCTGAATTTAGTTTTTCCCCTCTCGCGCAACGCGCGGAAATTTTTTGGATTTATTAAATTATTAGAGAAAGAAGACGATTCGTTGTAGAGTTCTCGACTCTAAATTCTCGTCTGAATTCAGGTTCCCCCCTTTTAAGTTTCCTTAAATCATTAGAGAAAAAAGACGATTCGTTGTACCGTTTTCGAAAATAATCCTCGTCTGAATTTACATTCTCCCCCACTCCCGCGCGAAGCGCGGAAGCTTTTACGTTTCATTAAATCATTAGAGAAACAAAACGATTCGTTGTACAATTCTCGACTCTTAATCCTTGTCTAGATTCAGTTCCCCCCTCTCCCCCTCCTGCGCGAAGCGCGAAAGCTTTGACGTTTCATTAAACTATAAAAGAAAGAAGGCGATTCGTTGTACCGTTCTCGAATCTTAATCCTCGTCTGAATTCAGTTCCATCCCCCCCTCCGCGCGAAGCGCGGAAGATTTTACGTTTCATTAAATCATTAGAGAAAGAAGACGATTCGTTTTACCGCTCTCGAAAATAATCCTCGTCGGAATTAAGTTCCCCCCTCCCCTCCATCCCGCGCGAAGCGCGGAAGCTTTTACCTTTTATTAAATCATAAAAGATTGGTATTACCGTTCTCGCCTCTGAATCCTTGTCTGAATTCAGGTTCCCCACTTCCCGCGCAAAGCGCGGAAGCTTCACGTTTCATAAGATTATGAGAGAAAAAAAGACGATTCGCTGTACCGTTCTCGATTGTTAATCCTTGTCTGGGGCGGCGGCGAAGCCGGCCCGGAAGCATAGAGGTTTTAGGCGTTTAATTAAGGTCATATGAGCATATTTTTTTTAGTATACCTTATTATTTCGTGACACTGGCAGGTAACTATTTGGCGTTGGGTCCAGGGGCGGAGCCCCCCCAAAATCAGGGGTTTTAGGCATTAAATTACCGTCAGATGAGCATCTAAGGGCCCGCCGTAGGGCCCTTGGTGGGATCCAGGGGGCAGAGCCCACGGAAGCTTAGAGGTTTTAGGCATTTAATCACGGTCAGATGAGCATATTTTGATGCCTCATTATTTGTTAACACTGGCAGTTAACTATTCTTTCTTTCTTGCTCTCATTCTATTTTATTTCTCTTTAATATACTTTTTCAAAAAAAAGTGTGGGGGGGGGGGGGAGAGCTCGAGGCTCCCGATCCCCATCGTGCCTCGGGCCCTGACATGGAGGAATCTCAAGAATCACATTTCTTGCCTGGCTGCAAATTTAGGAATTTGTCATTTTTGAACAAACACATACAAACGTATAATTTACTAAAAATCTCGGAAAAATCTCGGAAATGATGTCATTTCAGCATTATTTGTAATCCACCGTTGTGGAATTAGAAATAAACCACGTTTGAATTTGATTTCCACTAACCCCCTCCCCTCCCTATCAGTACGCCAGTATCTCCTCTTTTCCTTTCCCTTTCCTTTCTTCTCTCTTGTTTGTTTTATGGGGGGGGGGGGGTCAACAGCCTGGGAGGCAAAGCCCTTTCGGCCCCCGATCTCCTTCTTCCCCCTTTTCTTTTCTTCTTCCTCTTCTTTCTTTCCCTTTCTCCTTTCGCTTCTTTTCCTTTTCTCTCTCTTTTTTTTTTTTTTTTTTTTGCGGGGGGGGGGGGGGCCAAGGCCCGCTCGGCCCCCCCCCCTGGATCCGCGCCTGCTCGAAATGTAAATGAAGTAAAAGATACATTTCTTAAAAATACGAAAGAGAAAAAACTTGCAATAGAAAGGGATACTCTTTTAATTCACTTTAAATAATGGGAGGCCTTGGAAGGTTTTGTGTGATATAAATTAACTTAAGAGAAGCAACTTCCCAGCCTTCTATCTCAGCAGTCTTTCTTTGGTTTGTGTTTGTTTGTTTGTTTTGTTTGTTTTTGTTTTGTTATTTTTTTATATTTATCTCTCTCTCTGGGGGAGTTTTTCTCTTTTCAGAGGTAATACTGTATTTTTAATTTTTTTTAATTTTCTTATTTGACAGACTATAATATTTCATGTACAAGCATTTTTATTTACTTTGTTCACTTCAATAGGTAAAGCGTTTTTTAAAGAAAAAAAAAATGAACATGAAATATTATTATTACTATTATTGTTTTAAACGAATAAGGAAACGTATGAAAGAGTTGTTTTGTTTAGCAATTGATCTTAATTAAGAATTATAATTTTGAATTGTATTTTGATTATTCTGAATGTGATGTCAAGTCAGTATGATGTACCTGTAAATTGCATGACTTTGATAATAATGTATTACACTCTGGTATTGAGAAAATAAAACACCTTAGACTATATATAAAATAAAAAAGTAAAGCGGCATTATGTTTGTATAGTCATTGACATCAGAACGTGTTAATAAGTCGAATCGTATCATGCCTTTTGAAGTTTAGATATAAATAATGTTTAGATTAGAATAATTTCTAGAACAAAATAGAATAAAAACAAGCAAACATGGTACAAATAATAACCTTTGCAGTGATTATTTGCGCATGCGCAATGTATCATTACTAAGCAAAATGGCAGCAAACATGGTAAGCACGGGAGAATTTTTAGTTTTTATTGTGATAGATGTAATAAACTTGTGTGCAATTCAATTGTGCATGAATGCATTATTTGTGTTGTTTGAGGTATTTTACTGCTATTGAGCTATGGATTTACTAGAAAATTATCGGTTTTCGGTGTGAAAAGCTAACGTTCATTTCTGTAGATTTATCATTGTAGTCCCGTCATATTCATTTTAATGTGAGTAAAATCTGTTCGTCTGTTATTGTTAATTCAACCAAACGCGTACGCGTGCCGTTGGCTGCTGCAGATACTTAATTTGTTTAATGGATGAATTTTGTTTTAAAGAATGAATTAGACATGGGGAAGATTGAATTTAACAGCTAGACTTATTGGAAAGATATTGGTATCCTAGATCTAGTTTTCATTTGAAATTGAATTGCGAATGCAAGGCAAGCTTGAAAATGAAGTTGAGCTGCAAATTTGCAGATGATCAGATGTTTTATAAACAGAGAGAGGGAGAAGGGGAGAGGATGGTGAGAGAGAGAGCCCATATGCCCATCACATAGAACTTTACTTCAATGCGCTCCGCTCGGTCCAAACCATGGTAAAATCGCGTAACAACTGCACATAAATATTAGGGCTGTGCACAACAGTGTAATGAGGTACCCGAGTACACTCCCAGGCTCACAGGCGAATACTTGAATATTCGGACGCCATGTTTTTTTATAATTTTTTTGAATTTTTTGAATTTTTTTGATTTTTTTTGAATATTTTTGATTTTCTTTTGAATTTTTTGATTTTTTGATTTTTTTGATTTTTTTGCCACTACCATACCACTCGGCAGTTTTTCAGGTCCCTCGCTGAAAACGCATGCAACTTTACTTTGAGTTGCAGTTGAAGGCGCCGTTTTAATAAGAATAATAACAGTAAACAATGCTGTTTTAAAAACCAAAGATGGCAGAATAATCCATTTTCCTCCAAGTCCAAACAGAAATCTGGACCCGAATATTCGGGTACAAGAAATCGTGCGGGTACTCGGGCATTCGACTACCCGTCGCAGCCTTAATAAATATGCATTCGGATCGCGTATAAATGAAACCCGGAAGTGCACGTTTTATTGAATGAAGGTATGGCTAGCAGATCGCGCTCCCAAACCCGGAAGTGAATACACATTTTAGTCAAAAGCGATATCGGGGAGACAACGTGCTCAGGTTTTGCGCATTCAGCTTAGCAACATGCGTACGCTATGCATACGCTTGCATATTGCGCGATGGAGCTGTTCGGCTAAATTTAGCAAAACAACATAAATCTGCATTTACGTCTTTTTCGTCGAGTCTGACCCAAAAGCTATGAATATTGCAGAGTTTTGAAGGGGCTGTATCTTTTGATAGAAACATTGGTGAGTCTTGAAATTTGAAATGTATTATTCTGATTACATTTTTTATTTAAAAAAAAAAAACAATGTTGAAAAACAATCCCAAATTGAAGATTGAAAAATCCGCCAGACACCCTAATAATAGCTGCACTGTGAGCTAAGTTAAAGGGACTATGTCCCATTTGCAGGCCAAAAAAATGAAAAAGTTAAATTCCAACTGCATTTGAAAGATAATACTTATTTAGAACTTTCCTAAAAAAGGTGGGGCTTGAAAATGTTTTCAAGTGGGAAAATAATGACCATTAGTTGTCAAATCGACTTTAGGGCTATAGAGCCCAAAAGTAATAGTCTTGATTTTCAGACAATTGTACCGAATGGTCATACGTTTTATGCTGCGCAAAGATTCAATCAGTTTAATCTTGGCCATCACAAGAAGTGGGTTATTGATGTAGACAAATGCTCATGTACCCATTACAACTCTTTTCATGTATGTTATTACCAAAGAAGAAAAAAAATCCAGTCAGACACTCAATAGTGTCTGACAGTGAAGTCTAGCAAGTAAACGGGTTTCCTTGCATAATTTGAATATGAGGACACTGCTAACGTTTAAATTTCACAGATAGGACATACATGACATATTCATAATTCCTGCAAAGTTCTACAGCATTTGAGGTTGGCTGCAAAAGGGACATAGTACCTTTAATGCCAAGTAATGCACTCACATGCATTGGCTGATCGCTCGAGCGCTTTTGACTTAAAGGGGCATGTTCCCCGTACTCCAGAGAGCATTCAAAATACGCACCCGCTGGCGGAAGGTGCTAGCTGCCTATTGACACCAACAGAATACGGCTCGTATGCAGATGGCATGTTCCGAATGCCCGCACGATGCCGATTATAATACCAATCGCAGTTCGGCTCTAAGATTCGGCTGCTGTTTCCACCCACTTTCGTGACCTCAAGATCGGCAGCGATCAGCTGGCTTGGCGAAGGCAGGCCAGGCCGCGCGTACTTTGATTGACAGCTGTATGCAAATTAGAAGTAGATCTTCGGAACCAAGATGGCAATGACTTCAGCAGCGATAACTACACTGGCGGGAACGTGCCTCTTTAAGTGAGAGAGGGCCCACTTAAGCAGAGAGCGCAATGACATCATTGACCATGCAAAACCATACCAAACACACACACTGACATGTCATGCTTATACAGATGATGCACTTCACACATAACTTATACAATAGATAAATCAACAAACATTTTAGTACAACTTGCCCAGTTTGTACCTTAAAAATTACAAAAAGGGGAATTTTTCAAAATTATGAAAGGCTTAAACTTAAATAAAATAACTAATTTTTTAAGGGTGCTGAAAAAATTGTACAAAAATCAAGGTTTGACTGGAATATGAGTTTGGTATCAGATCAAACAGAAAATCGCAAGCTTTCTCCTCGCGCAAATATGTTGTAACGTTGAGCAAAATGTCAGTCAGCGATAGCCAATCAGAAGGGCCCTTCTTTTGGCAAATAAGGCTGAGACCAGTCGAGCATAAAGCACATACACGGATGTTCGACTATTGAAATTAATTTTGAGCCACTAACAAGACTCGGGTGTATGCGCGGCATATGAGGAGCGTGCACATTTTATTTATTATGAATGGGCAATATACGTATCCAAAAGCTATTTCTAGATTCCTCGCTTGATGATGCTACTGACTTCCTTGGATATTTTACAAGTCCATGATTCTTCCAGAAGAAAAACTTAGCAAATCCCACTGCATGTCCATTATTTTGTAATTGTTCTTTGTCAAAATGCTGCTAACAGAGTGGCGATCGTGCAGTGATTTAAAACTCGTCATGCCTTTGGAGCAATATATTTTTTTCCTTCCATTTGTTTTGTGTAGAAAAAGTTATACAATTTGTTTAAACCTTTATTTTCCACAATAAATCAATGTATCTACCTATTATTGCTCAAGTCCTCTAGACAAAGCAGACCATCGAGAACATAAAAGTCACAAATGTGGTTACCCCCTCCCCTGGAACCCGCTATACTCTAGCTCACGCACAAAATCATGCTCTCTCTTTCTCGCAGCCTTCTTGACTGCTTACAGCTAAGTTACTGTGCACCGAATTTCAGAGTTTTTCACTCTTGGCGCGTTCTGGTACCTTTTTGCTATCAAATTACTGTTCCTTTTTTTTTCTAACACTCTAGGTTCAGTGTTTTACCTCAGTCGCATTTTCGTTAGGCAATAAATATTGATAGAAAATTTGCAGAGCGATCATCCTTTCAGTTTTTGCCCCACACATGGTCTTTCAAGTTAGCTGGAGCGTTCCGCTGGGTGTGTCCTGACTGGACCCAGTTACCCTTGTCTAGTGTAATCCGACACCTGATATAGTTTCAGGACCCGTCTTGCCAAGCTCGACCAATGAGAGGCTCTGTGCTGTAGCTAGCCTTTCTCCCCGGGCCTTTTGCCCAGTGATGGTGGCTACGCTCCCATCTCCCACTACCCTTGCTAGTTCTCCAAGTAAGGAGTTGGCAGCTGGATCGGGATTCCCCCTTCCCCTCTGGGGTTTGGTTTTCCCCGTGCCGCGAGCCTGTCTGGAACCCTATCTCGCAGTTGACTTCGGCATTTACATGTATGATTGGCTCTCAGTGGAGCTAAGTCCTGCTGCTGACCAGTCCTTTGGGATTGATACGCGGGCTTCTCTTACGCAATATCTCTCGAACACGTTTCCCCAGCTAACCCTGAGGGTAATCAGAGTCCATCGCTGCTGCTGAAATGTCGGAGCAAGGCCTTGCCTGCTGCAGCGACGACGCCAGTGTTGTCTGAAGGGGAGACTTGATCTACGCCTCTTCGCACGTCTCGGCGAGCTTGTCAGTCCCTTTAAGGAGTTAAAACCAGCTAGAGTATTCTGCCTAAGACTCGCTGGTCCTGAGGGACCTCCTCTTGTCATAAGCGATAAAGTTTCACCCGAGGCTGTCAGATAAGATTTTTAAGTCCAATCGCTGGTCTGCGGGGTCCTAATGGGAGCAGCAGAGTGTCGCCTGTGGTCTCTCTCAATCTCTGGAGGTTCTGTCCAGCGCTTGCCGCACTTGCCGCCTTCCCTTGGAAACGCAGCCTCCGACTTTCGCTTTTTGGGACTAGGCTCGGATGCCCGTTCCGTGAGAGTTCATTCCTCCTCTTATTCCTTGAATGAGCAGTGCACTTCTGGCCCAGTGATATGCCACCCTGCACTTCTGGCCCAGTGATATGCCACCCTGCACTTCGCCTGCCTTGGTCTCTCTCATGACAGATGCCAAAATCATTGCCAAAGCAGGTTAGACTCTGGGACCGGGGAACATCTGAACGTGCTCCTGCACATCAACGTTCTGAGATCGACGTTGGCATTGTTCTGTCAATTCTGACGATCCCTTGCTGGCTCGCACTGTCCGGCTTCGTCCCGAGAATTTTAATACATGCATATTCTCTGTAGGACAATCTGATTGCAGATTTCCTCTCCCGAGGCAAGGGTCTCGCTTTGGAGTGGTTTCTTCCTCCCAGAGATCTTGGGTCCTCTGTGGTATCGGCTTGGGCCCCACTAGAGACTGATCGTTTTGCTTCTTCTACCGAGTCACTGCCCTCGAGCTCAGGTTCCGGAAGCTCAGTCACTAAATACCATCT